TTAATGAACTTTTCACAGTCGTCATTTAATGATTTGTTCCTGTCATGTAACTGACAGACATGATTATTGTCCCGTCATGTGGTTTGTTTTAAGAAGATGCTAATGAAGACAAAAATGTATGCACCATTAATCCCTGAACACACACACACACACACACACACACACACACACACACACACACACCCCTAACTTCCCTGAAGAATCAGGTCATCCCAGGAATGATTCATCCTTCAATTTATCAAACACACACACAGACTGAACGCATCCACAGTGCCTCATTGCATCAGTGTGTGTATCCATGCCTGAACAGATCTAATGACTGACTGGAGACACTTGACAGACTTACTGTATTTCTTCATACGTGTCATTGCCCTCCTACTCCTGTGTGGGCATGATCACGCGTGTTCCCCATTGTGTGTGTGTGCCGTGCCGTGCCCTCGCTGCCCTGCAGTGTATTCAGCAGAGGATATTACGCTAATGGTTTATTAAAAGAAAATGTCATGTGTTAGTGAGCTGAGGGGATGAGGGGGTTCGGAGCTCATTAGGATTCATTAGGGGGTTCCAGTCAGTGCACGTTTCATGCACTAGAAAGCCCAGAATGTAAGAATGACTTTTTTTTAATTTGATAAGCTGATCTGGAAGCTTACCTATGAAATGATTCTGGCTCTGCTGCTCCGTGCTAACATTTCCTCTCATGTAATGTTGATGTAGTGATACCAGGTGACTCATAAGGTTTTTGGTAAAACAGTGAATTCCCATGAAGTGTTTGGAAACTGTGATCCTGGTTGTGTTACTCAGAATTACTGCCAGTAAAGATTACAAAGAGAGTAACTGATTTCACACTGAAGTAAAGTAAAGTAGATGTTCATGTTAATTTCTCAGCTTGCATGTTTCTCCGTCACTGTGAATGAAGTGAGAGTGAAAAAAACTACTCCTCAATGCCAAAAGGAATTTTGGAAATATTCCCAGATGTGTTCAGCGATGTTCCAGTCCACATTCCATATTTGTGATAATATATCTGATTCATCAGACAAAACGTTCTTCACATTGTTGTGACTAAACTCCATATATAGCCATGAAACAAATATCAAAACAAAAGGGATTTATTGTGACATTTTGGAAGATTCAGTGAATCCGCACACCTCTTTTAATTTAGCCTTTTTAAAAACAAAACACAAGAGCACAAAGGTTGTGTGTTTATCTGAAATAAGAACAGTGGCGGTTCTAGGATATTTCTAAATCGGGGGCTACAATTTTCACGGAGTAGCCAATTATATGTCCAGGTCCATGAGAATTGTTTAACTTGAAGCATACAAGGTTTATCACCTGTACCGCAGCCAGCCAAAAGAAGCATTTACTTTTCCACTCAAATTACATTCAGGAACATTAATCTGCATGTACGTGTAAATTCACACAAGCATGCCATTAAGGGTCGCTCACTTTATCCCAGCTGGTGTGAAATAACATCTCTCCTGGTTCTGGAACTGGAGTCATTTCAGACTGCAGCCCCCCCGCTGCTGTCAGCCAGAGATCAAGGCTGAGAGCTGAGGTAGTTAAGCCGAAAGCTGCGAGAGGGCAAGCAGCTCTCTGACATGCCCTGTTCAACAAAATGTATTTTATTTTACAGACGAGCTTTGAAGATTTCACTTAAGCCTTTAGCACAAATGCCAAAGCCGGGACACGTTGGACGGTGCCGTTAAAAGGCTTTTTTTAAAAGATGATGCAGATAAGCTTCATATGAGAGTGATTGAAAGGTGAATTATTTAAATCATAAATAATGTTTAAATGTATATCACCGCCAAGGCAGTGTGTATCCTCCAATCTATAGTTGTTGTTGTGTTTCCCTGAACTGCCCTTGATTTCCCAGCCGTGGTGACTAACCGTCGAGGAAACCCCTCTCAAAGTGAAACAGGCGAGCGTGTGCTGCATTTGCCCGAGCAGTAAATGTCAGTGCCCTGCTGATTGAATGCACGTCGACAGAGATAACTGTGGGGCAGCGTGCTGTCAGGACAGGGAGGGAGAGACCCAGTGACCTAGACTCGTCACACACCTCCAGCACTGCCGGCCTGCTGGCTAAAAGCAAACCTCCTCCGACCTGTGGTCAAATTCTACGCTTTTATTGCTCATTTTTAATCATCTTCTGACCTGTTTGAGAAATTGGCTTCAACTGTTTCTGGAAATCACTGCAGCAATAAGGCAAACTCCTCACGCGCAGCAGGAATCGTGTGCACTGGTGCGTGACCCAGACCTGAACTGTGCCGGATAGCGATGGGTCACTCCACAAAGAGCAGGAGAGGGAATTTATCAGTGGAAACTACAGCATTGCTCCACTTCAGATTATTTATAGCTGTAAAAATATCCTATCCTTTTGTTCTCCTGTGACGGCACAGTTATCTGTTAGCAATCTCATTCAGTATATTTGCTTAGAATCTGATTAATTTCATTTAAATGTACAGTATTTCACATATATGTTGTTATAAATTCATCTACACACTGTTAAATACATTCACAGGAGGTACAACAGAAACCCCTGACATTCCAAGGGCATTTCTTTATCATTGTATTGTATGTGTGAGCCAGTGAAGGAGGTAGGAAGCAGCACATGCGGTGAAGAGAATCCCAAAGGAAACATACGGTACTCGAGCTCATCGATGTTTCAGTCAAGGACACCACAAAAGCACCCATTACACACAGCTGATGCTACACAGCTATGTCTTGTGTTGACCCACTTTATTTTCTGCAGTAAAAAAAGCCTCTAAATGAAAAAATACAATACGAGTGTGAAGGGAGTGAGACGAGGATTTTGGTGTGAGGAGGTAAATTTATAAGATCTGCAGGATGGTGACAGCACCATGAGACCAGAAACAGGTGGTGGTTGTATTTCTATCCTGGGAACTATGTCCAGTATTTGGGTAACTGCACTCGTCTGACAACACCACAACAGACAGACCAGTATAATGTGTCTGTCTTGGTTTATTGTGTCCCTCATTTCTGATTTGTAACATTAAAAGTGCTATAATAGCAAAAGAGCTTTGTTGAAGAAGAGGTATGGAACCAATTCCTTGTGTTTCCAGCACCCTGCAGCATTATGGGAAATGTAGTAAATCTCCTGACTGAATCTTTACAGGCCGATTGTAATGCATGACTAAATAGGTGGACTTTTCCCCTTTAAGATTTTCCTGCACTGTGTCAATCTGCAGAGTCTCACTTTGGCCCAAATGTGTGGCTGCACCCGAGTGAGGCTGGCAGTGCTGCAGGCTACACACCCACACACACACACACACTCACTCAGAGAGAGAGGCAGTCAGACTGAATAAAATGAGGGAAGAGCTCAGGCATAATGTGAGAACACCTCATGTAATGTGGATGCACTTTCTCCTCTACTGCAGCTTGTTCAGTATCAACGAACGAGGTCGATTTGGACATAAAGATCAGATTGAAACGATTAATCAGGTACACACACACAAATGTACAAAATGATCTGCAGGTAAAAGCTGCACAATCTTCCTATTGCAGCTAGAATTTGAATGAGGTCAAATGCATATGGTACAGAGATTGCAGCCAGATAGCAGAGTGTGTAAAATCCCCCCCAGTCCCTTCTCTCCTGGCAGCATTGTGTCGTGGAGGCAGAGCTCCCACACAACAGACGGGACTCCCAGCACACAGCCTGCAGGGTGGAGCTGTCTCACTGTAGAAACGCTGCCAGCTACACCCACAGTCCACTCACTCTGTCGCAGAGGGGAGAGCTGATGCGGAACGCCGTTGTTTTTGTAATATTAGAGGGGATGCTGCGTTGGGGACGGAGCCTGGAGGCTGAGAGAGGAGGCCTGAGGAGCAGGGAGGTTCCTGTTCACACTCTGAAAATACAGACAGATCATCAAGTGTCATCAACCCCACAGGGAAATTCATTTTCTATTTCCCCCCCTTTGTTTTTATCTTTTTGTGAGGAGTGAAATGTGTATAAAACATGGGGGCCATGATAATAAGGTGCGCTGCTGTATCGTCCTGGGATCACATGTGAGTTACAGGAGCTTCGGTCGGGCCTTCATGTGCAGCAGTTCATCAGCAGCATTACAACCTGTGAAGTGAATCAAACAAATATTTCTTTATTCTTCTGTGAATACAACTTGGATACGAGTGATTTAGAAACTCTTCCTTCTCCAGGCTTTGTCTCATCCTCCTCCGTATTGGTTGTAGTCCTCTCACACATTGTAAACACAGGAATTGGGTTGTGAGTGTCACACATTACTACTACTACAACTAGATGTATTTATGCAGTAGTCCTTTTCATGTACTCTGTGTTCTATATTTACTCTTATTCCTCTTATTCCTTTCATACTCTATATTTACACATAGGATGGAGGAAGATGCTTCAAATTAAAAGTATTATTTATTTGAAAACTTACAGTATGATCATGCTTAACCTGTTAAACCCAGTTTAGAGGATATGAATTCACAGTACTTATAATTATTATATAATTTATTTTTAACCTTGTGCTACTTATGCTAGATAAGATAATAATTTGTTAGTCCCACAATGGGAAAAGTTACCATGTTGTAATGTTGCAACATGTGTTATATGTTTTAGTTTAGTGTGAAGCTTGAAATTAAAAATAATTATTCTATATAAATATTGATTTAGTCACATCTACATTTTATAGCTGCATCGATGCCTAAAATATCATTTTAATAGCTAATGATATAATGAAGGTAGTTAAATGAAGTTTACTAGCACCTTTTGGGAACTTGTTATAAGATATGTTGTGTGTTTGTATCCTGTGTTTCATTTTTTAACTTTTTTAACTTGGAATAAATAAAAACAAAGCATTTAATTTTCTTTGTATAATAATGTTATTTGGTTTTATTTGACAGAGAAGTGTTGGGTCTGTAGGGGGCGCCATGGTGGAGGGCAGCAGGAGGCTTCATCCAGAGGAGGAGGAGGAGAGGGAGGAGGAGGCCGCTGCCATTGGCTGCTGCAGGTTATAAATATAGGGGAATGGTTCCACCGGCTCAAAGAAGGAGGAGACACCGGGAGAAGCAGCGGAGGAGCGGACGGACACCGTGAACACCACATCTGTTCCTCCACATCTGGACCAATCAGGACCGGACTCCTATTATTATTATTATTTCTATCATTATTATTATTGTTGCCTTTTTTCTACACTTTCTCCTGATTGAAATCAATGAAGGAGAGACGCTCTTGTCAGAAACCATCTCTGAAATCCAGCATGGATCCCAGTCACAGTGTGAAGTGTAAGATAGTGGTGGTGGGGGACAGCCAGTGCGGGAAGACTGCGCTGCTTCACGTGTTCGCCAAGGACTGTTTCCCGGAGGTGAGACCCCTGCACACCCATTCTGCACACCCATTCTGCACACTCACCCTGCACACTCACCCTGCACACTCACCCTGCACACTCACCCAGCACACTCACCCAGCACACCCACTCTGCAAACCCACACCCACCCTGCACAGCTCAACCTGCACACCAATGACCTTGCTGCAAATTAACCAGATTTTAATAGTCACACGATCACATGGTGCTTTATGTGTAAGATGCTTCAGTAATGATGATGTCTCCTATGAGTTCCAATAGTGGAAGCAGTGCTAAAGTATTGTGTTACTGTGGTGAATGAATCTTTATAATAACAATAATTAAAGTAGTGTTGTATTTCTCTGCATGTAACCTTCATTTTAGCCATTTTTTAAAATTATAATCTAACATCTAAACACTGCATTTCCCATAATCCCTTATCTCTGTCCTCGTGTCCCCTGCAGAGCTATGTCCCCACAGTGTTTGAGAACTACACGGCCAGTTTTGAAATCGACACACAGAGGATCGAGCTCAGCCTGTGGGACACCTCAGGTAAAAACAATGTGTCACCTCTCTCTCTCTCTCTGTCTGTGTGTGTGTGTGTGTGTGTGTGTGTG